AAAAACAATATTTACTTCTTTATTCATTTCTTGTAAAATATTAACCCTTTCTTTTATTTTATAAACAATATCCACTTCTTTTGTTTTTTCTCTTATAAAATACTAACCCTTTTTTTTATTTCATTTCATAAACAATGTTTTTTTATTCTTTCTAAAAATACTAACTTAATTAAAAATACATTTTTTTTATCATAAGGTTAAAACATTTCTTAAGTATATATTTGTACATAAAAATAAACAAAATACTTTTTATACATAATTAACTTGAAAATATTTCTTAATACACATTAAAATATACTTGTATATAAAATAATACATATCGTTTTTATCACACAATTAACTTGAAAACATTTTTAATATATATTGAAATACATTTGTATATATTATCTTTTCTTTTTTCATACATAATTAAATTGAAAATACTTTTTTTTAAATTGAAATACATATTTGTACATATTATACATTTTTTTTTATATATACATAATTAAATTGAAACTTTTAATTAAAGTATACATTTGTACATAATAACTTAAATACATTTTTCTAACATTGAAATTCACAAACATTTGGACTAAAATACTTTCCAATTAAAACTTAACATTTTAATCAAAACACTTCATTTTTCTTTTGTACATAATTAAACATACAAAAATCAAAGATTCATTTAAAATACATTTATCTAGGTCAAACCCTAATACGACTCAATTTCACATTTCGCACTTGTTACATAATTCATATACATATACACTTGTACACTTATACAAATACATTCACATTGCCCTATACACATTTTTATCTTATATTTGTATATTCGATATTTACATTTGATCGCACATTCGATTTGGTTGTAACTTATTGGATACTATAAGTCTCATCCCCTTGTACATTTATACCCCCACTCCCGGACATTATTTTGTAATAGCGTAGATTTTATATTCCGCAATTTACAGTTTTCAATTATGCCATGGTTAGACCTAGGGTTTGTATGTACATAAAATCAAACGCTAGATAATCTAATACAAGACAAATACATGTAACCAATACACAATCACACTTGCACCCCCTAGGGTAATCCCACATGTTGCCTTCCAAAATGGGCCATGCTTGCACGTCGAGTATCTTTGGCAAAACAAAATCAAATGATCATAAGTCTCAAAGTGTTGCCTAAACGGAATGATCATAGTCCCTTCAAAACAAATTGCCAAAGACACTTGGCATCATTGCATTCATGGTCCATACGATGACCCACGCCCGTCCCGAATAAACTTCCTAAACGCAAGATTGTCCATCAATTTCAATGGTGGAACAAAATTGTTAAAAGGGGTTAAAACACGACAAAAATCTTTGAGTACAATAGGGTAGACAAAACTCTTAGTTACTTGAGATCAAACTTGCAAAAACACTTGCCTTCTTTTCAAAAACCACGATCCACAACACTTTCAAACAAACTCTCAAAAACATTTGAAAACATCTTTTCGAAAAGATTCACACTTTTGTAAAACACTCAAACACGAGTCAAATACATTAGTTGCCTAAGACAAGGCATCTTTTTCCAAAACATTTTCAAAAAGCACCCACACACGCACCATTTTCAAAGCAATCGAAAAACAAGGCAAGTGATCTAAAAAACCAAGTAACTAAGAGCCCATGGATAACCATGGATGAAAAGGGTGCTAACACCTTCCCTTTTCATAATCTACCCCCCGAACCCACGAAATATCTCAAAAGGTTTTTGCTGTGCTTTTTTAACCTTTCCTTTAGGATAAAATAAAAAGTCGGTGGCGACTCTTGCTAACCGCACAAGTGCGAATACGAACGCAAACCTCAAGTCAGTTCTCCCACCGTATCACACTATTGTTATTCTCTTTGTATTTGCTTTGATTCCTAGCTTAAGTTCTTGCAAACTCTTGTAATTTTTCTGCACTTTTGGTATTACAATCTTGCCTTCATTTTTATTTCAAGTTATTATTGATTTTACTTGCTTTAATTTATTCTCTTGCAATGTTTCTAATTTTATTATTGTTGTTGTTTACCTCACCATATGTGAGTAGTCCCTTAAGGACAAGGGGTTGTGAGAATTTATCTAATGACAACCCGCAATGAATTTATCCACTATGTATTATGAGAGAGAAAAATCCTTGAGTGTCTTTATTTTAGCATCTGAGTTACAATTCACATTTTTATGTCGGTTGAAAATGCAAAGGCAACATGGACACGACGACTTGATCTCGACTGAGAAAGTCCTTAGTTGTTCCATGATTAATGTCTAGATTATGCACTCCATGAAAGTGAGTGATGCACACTTTTATCTACTTTTCTATGAAAATTCTCAAATCAATCTTGTAACCGAATTTTAATAAGTCATTGGGATGAGTCTAAAACTGCAATCATAAACCCATGTCCTATTTTTATCATTTGCTAATTTCTATTTTCAAACTGCATCAAACAAACTCTTTTGTGATTGCTTTAGATAAACATAGTTGGAGTAAATTTTGATAATCATACATCTCTCTAAGGGTTCAATCTTTTTACTACTTGACACAATCATGCACTTGCGATTCACACACGATCAGGAGTATCATCGACATCCAACACATGTACATTGGGATTATGATGAGGGCTATATGACATGGTTATCTAGGGTGCCACACCCTATCATGACACCATATTCTCCTGAAATACCACCTAGGTCAGCTAACCAGGAGGTACTTGAGGTTTAGGATGATCAGGCTGAGAGTGTGACGATTATCTGTCGGGCTATTGCAGAGATGGGTAGAGGTACCTGAAACAACCGACTGAATAAATCATCGAGATGAAATCACTGAAGTCGCCATTGAACATTTTTTATCGCACAGGAAGGGAAAGGTAAACATTGATTAAACCTGAGAAGGGTGAAATCACGATCAAACGAACGAGAGATCGGGTAAGGGAGTCTTTTACGCGAGGGGAAGGTATTAGCACCCCACACGCTCGTAGTACTCTACGGTATCCACTCTTTTTGTTTATCTAATAGGTGTGTTTCAAATCTAAGTTTAAGAGCTAAAAGAAAATGCAAAAAAGGGAATGCATGCAAAAGAAAAGTGAAAATAATGTAGGGAAAATAAAGTTGTGCTCGCTTGGGCCCTATCCCAATGCTTACGTATCCTTTTTGAGGAATCAGAGTTATCGTAGTTTGACTCACATGTTTTGATTTGTTTTGTGTTTTTTAATGAACAATATTAATTTTGCCTTCTGTCGCAACTCGGCCTTTGGAGATTCACGCGTCAGCATAAAAGTGAATTAACATGTTCTTTTGAAAAAGTTTGAAAGAAAAGGCCCGAAGGCGCAAAAGAGTTTGCATTGGTTGATATTTTTTACCTTGAAAAAGTATTTGAAAATTGTTATATGTTTTATGCATTTGCCAAGAAAAATGTTTTAGTTTTAATGCAAGGATGCAAAATAAAGGAAAAACATCTAAGGGAAACTTGCTAAGTCTATCCCTAATTTTATCATACAATGATGATCATATGGTCGAGTTTTAAAATGGAAATATCTACCCTATGTTAGCATGCCTGGATCACAATCCTAGTGTCTATCTCGAATCTCCGTAAAAGGATGAATCGAGAAGTCCTAAAGGAACATAGCAAAGGTTCACAACCTAAACTTATGTCTATCTCTAATCACCACCAAAGGGTGAATCAAGAGCTCCTAAGGGAACATGCCAAAGGTTCACAACCTAAGAAAACATGTACACAAGGATGGAAGCGAGTAATCCACAAGCTCAAGAGAGCATACACATGCCACGAGTAGTTCACACTAATTCGAGTAATAGCCTAACTGAGATATAACTGATCGAGGTAGGTACAAAATACAATAGGGATGCTTTAGCCAAAGGGTCATATCAACCTAGGCAAACAAGCAAGAAAGGCGATGAAGAGGGAAGCTTTAGCCAAAGGGTCATATCAACCTAGGCAAACAAGCAAGAAAGGCGATGAAGAGGGAAGCTTTAGCCAATGGGTCATATCAACCGAGGCAAACAAGCGGGAATGGGATAAGAAAAACAAATAAAAATGTGATGTCCAAGGCGACTAAACCCCTAACCACGATATAGAAAATCGAGGTAGGAGATAGAAGAATATATGAATAATCGTAGAGTGTCATCATCGGCCAATGCGAACTCCTGACAAAGTGTGGGGGTTCGATTGCGAAACCCTTTTCCACTTGACGACTCGATAACAAGAGTAGGCACAACTTTGAAGCATCGGTGCATAACGCAAGCTACGGATAACACGAACTAGAATATGTGGGGGTTGATTGTGAACCCTTTTCGCTCGCCTCCTTTTGAGGACTTCAATAAGGGATGGGGGAATAGATGCGAGCACAAACGTAAACACACGTGCATAATACCTATTTCAAAAGTAGGATTTTAAACAAACTCAGATAACATACAGAAAGTTGTGCCTGCTACAGGAATTTAAACAACAATTTCGAGCACACGCTTTTTATTTCCTACTTCTCATGATATCTAGAAAGCAATAAACTGCTGAAATATAAACTAAAATCAGAATGATACCAAACAAACAATAGTTCATAGCACAGCGAGCGAAGCAGAGAAACCCGAAAAACTTCGAGTAAGCTTCACCAAGGAATAGAGAAGAGTCTGAAATCAAAAGCTCAGAATAAGCGTCGGAGCATCATCGATGTGAAAATAAATCATAATCGGAAACTCAAGAATGCCCACATATCACACAATAAACCTGCATAAGACTCAAATCTCAACAAGCAAAGGTGAATTACAAATCTCAAATAATCGGTTAATCCTGATTTAATTCCTAAAAATGTCTCCTAAAATCTAACATTTTTTATTAACAAAATTGTCAACTAACAATTATGAAAAGAAAAAGCTAAAGAAAAAATAAAAAAAGCTACACAGAGGGGTGTGAGTCTGGAAACAGGTGGTACAATCTGAACGTGATGGTGACTCAGAAACAATGGCTTAAAAGCCCAATAGTGAAGTCCACATGCCATTTTTTGTTGCAATCAGCTTTAGGTACCAAAAATGGCGTGACATGGGCCTAAGAGGTACAATTTTGGTCCATGATCCCTTGATCCAACAACAATAACCACCAGCACTTAATCATATTTATTCAGCCATTAGTTGATGAATTGCTATTATGATTAACAATATATATGACATAAAATTGTATTGCAAAACGCCAACGTATTGGCCAAAAGGATAGGGTTTAGAGATCGACGGTACAACTTCCACGGGAATGAGTTCTTCTTCCTTCCTCCCTCACGCGGCGGCCAAACTTTCTCCTCTGGATTCCCGAAGAGACCCCGTCGTTCCACTCCATTCCAGCACCTCGGCTTCGCTTTTATAATCTTCTTTGATCTGTTTTCTTCTTCGACTCAGCTTCCAGCCGTTGTGATGTCGTGACTTCCGAGTTCTTCGTCTTCTCACGAAAACCGAACGAAAAAAAGAGAGCAGAACTAATCAGCAAACGTCCAGCGCATCTCCGATTCAAGTAAGATTCTACCTTTATGTGCTTCTTCTACATTTCTCCGTTTCAAATTTGTTGTTGAAAAATGAAGGATGATGAAGGTGCGTTATGAAGAAGATGATGCATATCAATGTTATGTTGTCAATGTTGATGGAAGGTGATCAAGAATTAAGATTTGCAGAGAAGCGTTGCGGTTGAGAAATAATGAAGATGGCGATGAACGAAGGTTCCACGGTGTGGAGCTGTTGTTGTAACGTTGATTCAGAAGTAGAAGGCTAGAGGTGTATGGTGATGATGATGAACGAGTGTGAGAAGGACGATGGTGAAGCGGTGGAAGAAGAAGGTGTGGCCGTTAAAGGTGGTTGAGAAAAGATGAAGATCGGAGAAAAAAGCAGAGAGAAGTTGAGAGCTCTTTTTGATGATTCTGAAGGTGAGTTTTGTTATATACAATCTGTTAGCTGTGAAAATCAGTTAGAGTTTTGATCCATCTGAGTCGTTGAATCTCAATTTCTATTATACAGTTGAATGATCAGGATTTGTTCTATTTTTTTAGTTAGTTGGAGAGTGATAGATCTCAGCCATTGATATTAGATTTTCAGTTATACTGAGCTGTTCCAAATTAATGGTGAGATTGAATTCGGTTGTGGCAGTTATACTGAGCTGTAACTTCTTAATTGTATTTTCTGATTCAATACCTTCCTTCTTTTTGATTTTATTTGTTGTGAACTTTCTGGTTTGATAATTTTTTATTCCATACCTTTTTCATTTTTCTTCTGCTTTGGAAGTTTTATTTTAGCTGAACCGGTGCACTGACATTAAATGAACTGTCAATTGATTTTTTACTACAACTTGATGCAAGGCAGCTTTTTTTGTGAATTGCTACGGATACAAAGCAATTGGTATATGATCATAAAGGCAGCATGGTCCATGGTTACAAATAAGTGGAGATTCAAAACATGTCCTGAAAATTAAGATTGGTAAGATTAAATGTGGGTGAAGCCAAATATTGGAAGCAATAAGTCTTTGGCCAAAACTTTGTATTTTCTTTTTTGTGATAATTTATGAATATAACTTGTAATGAATCATGAATATGGTGTAATATTGTAACAGTCTTGGATGTAATCTTGAATGATGCATTGTTCCCTTAACTTCAAATTCCCAATCATCTTGCAATTGAAGTACCATGAAGTTTTTAGAATGACACTAATATGAACATGAATAATACTGCATGCCCGTAAATGAATAAACTTTGATGGAATTTGATGAGTAGTTATGAATTGTACTAATGTGATTGGAACTTGTATTGACAACTTTGAGTTCCAAACATACCACAAGCATGAACTTTCCAAATTTTCAACGTTAATCCATTTGACAAGCTTGCATCAAAATAACACTTAACGCATTTTAAATGGAATTTGAATGAATGAGAATGTCTTGCCATTTGTGTCTTGTTCCTTGCATTCAAAATGAATCATGAATGTTTTTCTTACATCTTAAGAGACCTTGACAAATTTTGAACAAAAGTTGAAATAACGGAGGCACTTGAATCGATTTCATATCTAATCATCTTGGATTATTGATAAATTTCAAATTCAATCTTTATTCCAAAACAAACTTAAATGACAAGCGGCAAATGTTATCAATGACTTTAATTACAATGTAAATTCACAAAATCATCCTTGTCATAATTCGTGCTTTGCAATTCAATCCACCAAGACTTTTCAATTTGGTAACTAATGATTTTATCACAAAATGAATGCCCTGGGAAATCTCTGAAGATTATAAGACCTAAAATAGTAGAAGTGGTGATGATCACAAAGCCCTAATCAATCTTTCCTTGATGAAGAAAGAATCCACAATAACCATGAACCAAAACCCTAATGCCACAAACCAATGCCTGAAGGAGAATCAGATGAAATCAAATTTATTGGATATATACACCGCAATCACTATGAAACCCTGACATGCATGATCACTGATTTTATTGAACCCATATGCTTTATCGAATGTAATGTTATGTTAATGACTTAATAGAAAGATGTGAAATGAAATGTAAACCTAAGTCAGATAAAATAGAAGATATGAGGACAAATTTTAGAGTACAACAGTATCGTAGAGACATGACTCTCTAAGGATGACACTCTCCAGTTGACCCTCGTGGAACGCATAGTTATCGAGTTACATAATATTGTATAGTACAAGCAGCGGAGGTAGGAGGTTAGACATACACAATAGTTTACATTTAAATGTATTATTTTTTGTTTCTGACAAATATTATATATAGTCTTGACTTTTTTTAATTAATGTATGCCTTATTACTTTCCTTTTATTTTAATATAACTTTATTTTATATTTAGATATATTATTTTTTATTTCTTACAGATATTATATATGGTCTTAACTTTTTATATTAATATATGCCTTATTATTTTCCTTTTACTTTAATATAATTCGTTTTATGTTGATTTTACTGTAATATTTAGACAATTTTGTTGTTCTAATTGGATGAATTCCAGTGATTCTTCTCTGACCTAAATAACATTCGGAGATACATATGACCATATTTCAAACAATTTATGATGAACCTCATGTGTATTTCGACATAATTTTGATGCATCCGAAATTTTCAAAGATGTGGTATGAAAGAGTATCCCCAACTTTTAAGCAACCAAACATCAGACTACATTTTAGAGTTTTGGATAAGATTGAGAAGGACTATAGTAAAAAGGAAAAATAAGAAGATTAAGGACTATAGTAAAAAGGGGGGGAAAAGATGATACTCAATATTAATGAGGTGTTTAATTATCTTCATACGAACTAATACAATGTATTGGAAATATTTATCACCTTTAAGGTTCTTGTAATAGAGATGCTCTTAGGTATAAATCATAAATTACATTTTTATGTTTTTTTATAATACCTCCATTTTTTACATTATATCAAACTCCCTATTTTCTTGCTGATTTCTTATAACTTGAGAAAAATCAATGGCTACCAACTGATTGATTTTAGGTATAAATCACAGCATTTATCATTAGAGCATTTTTTATGAATAACTTATATCTTCAAATTGTGCTTCAACCTTTCTTACGACTTTAAAAAATATCAACCAAACAGAACAATGAAATACTTCATTTCGATAATAGTAGTTGTCAGATCCCAAACATCTAGAGGACTATCCTTCAAAACTATTGTGTACAGTCAGAAAGAACAACATCAAGATCTGCTGAAACAAAATAGTTAGATAGGAAGTGTTCATCCTCGACAAAAAGTACAATCCTAGATGCATTTTTTTACTAGTTATTTACAAATAAATATTTAAATCCAGATGTAAAAATGGGCACAAGTCGAGAAAAGTGCCATTGAACAAGAAAGGCTTTTTAAATTCACTATTGAATCCGAAGGCTAGACATTTACAGGTTATTTGCTCTCGGCAGAGCCAAAAAATGCAGATAAAATCTAATGGGATACTCCACCCATCAAATTAGAAAGTTTAAACTACCAATTTGAATAACCAACTATACAGTAAACCAGCACTATACCCTCAGTAGATAATCGAAAATTGAAGGAATAATAGCTTGGCCACAACCCATCAACTTCAATATCAAGCATTCTTTGCAGCCAATATCATTGCCAGAGAGGGCATGTGCAATCGTTAGGGCCAATTTATAGCTATTCCACCAGAGATGCCTTAACACATAACTGCCACTTACGAGGACCAAAAATGCCTCCAACTTCCTTCAATTTCTAAATACAGTATCTGGTGCTAAGAGTCCCTAAAGTTCTTGAGACAAATTCTGACACCTTTATTCCGAATCTGAATCATCAATAGAAAGGTACAGGCGGGGCCTTACAGAACGTTTTTGCCGAGGAAATGTGAAAGGGCTACCCGACCTTTGTCTACTTGCTTTGTCAGATCGTACATCATTAATACCAAGAAGCAAAGAAGCTGCACAAAGAGAAATGGTTAATCAAGTAAAATTGCCAAACATGGAAATAAAAATGCAACTACCTGATCAAGAACAAAAAGGGGGTTAGCATCCTCTACATTTTTCAAGATATCAAAATAGCCTTTTATACTTTATAAGTAAGCAAAATATGGGCATTTGGCTCACTTGGTTAATAGTAGGCAGCGTAATTGATGGTGGATGGCGGACCATCGCTGAGAGGCAAAATCCCTCAACAACGCCCGACATATGGTGCCGCCATCCAGTACACATTTGACCGTGGTGGAGAGCCTAAAACCCGCCATGGCCGATATTTAACAAGACTGGTAGTAGGATAAACCACTCAACAACCTTAGCATGTGTTTGGTTCAACAGTGAAAATTATTGATTTCGGGTGAATTTATTTTGTAAAATTGATTCTTAATAAAACTGAGTTGAATGTAAAGTGATTTATGTTTGGATATATTAACATATAAGTGAGTTAAACAATAAATTTCAATGTAAAAATCATGGACTCAAAAACTACAAATCCTAGCTTCAAGTTAGAATCAACTCTGGAGGTAAAACCAATTCTACTAAATAACAACCAAACATGTCAAAATCAATTTTACACATCCAGAACCAACTCTAGATGCTCCAAACGTGGAACCAAACATATACTAAGACTCATATGATGCGGAAGACTAACACAGTCGCATGGAATACCTTTGACATATCCACAACAAAATCTAAGGTTTCTATCTCAGCATTTGCATAGCGGTGCTCAATGCAAAAACAAAAAACCCAGCATCTTTCTTACACCCTCTAAAATAAATTTCTTTGAAAATGCTGATAATACTAAACTTACACGATAAAATAACCTCAACCATAAACAGTTGTTGGAATTCGATCAGTTTTCAAATCCTAATTTGAAAACCCATATAATGAAAAATAAATTGCAACTTGGTATTATAAAAATCCCACTAAGGCAAAATCTTGTGAAAGATAGCATACATCGCAAATCTAATGTACACAGTCTTATCTCATATTTGAAACAGAATAATTCTATAGCTCAAACTTGTGACCTAGTCACACAAAGGTCCATCTGCTGAACCAAAACTCTCCTAGTCACACAGGCAACTCCAAATATCTTGAAACTACTTTATTTCAGATACACCTGCATTTCCTATATATATGAGAAACTTGACTCTCCTGGATCTGAACTAACATTTTAAATGTCAATATTTAATTTGAACTTACATTCTGTTGCAA